CAAGTTATCACCACAATACATTTCCGAATTAATTAAGGTTCGTTCTGCAACTTGCACTCGTTCCCTCCGGTCAACAACTGACTCAACCAATCTTTATTGTCCATCCTTTCGGTTAAAGTCTTGTGGGGAGCGATCGTTTATGGTTGCTGGGCCCAAGTTGTGGAACTTGTTACCTTTATTTATTCGTGAGTCACCTTCTGTCACCATTTTCAAAGAACGACTTAAGACCTGTCTCTTATACACATCTAGATGTGTATAAGAGACAGCACTAGACCTTGTCATTACAAATAATCCTAATCTTGTGAAACTTTCACTGGTTCATGAATATCCCTTGTCTGATCATTTCTTTCTTCACGTTACACTCGATGCGCGCAAACCAGCATCTGCCAAGAAAGTTGTGAATTTTAGAAAATTTAACAACATTGACATCAACATTCTCGATCGGAGAATTGCGCATTCTCGATCGGAGAATTGCGCATTCTCTCTCTAATTTTAGTGATGACATGGATGTGAACAACGCAATAACCCAGTACAACAATACACTTACCTTACTTAGAGATGAACTGGCCCCATTAAAATCTAAGACCGTTTCAAATCATGCATCCCCTGCTTGGTTCACTAATAATTGTAGGACAGCTAAACAAGCAAGACGTAAAGCTGAGCGGAAATAGCTGAAATCTCAAGATCATTGTGATTTCCACCGTACGCTTGAAGATTCTCGGGTTTCTTACCTCCAGTCTAAGATCGACGGATGTGGACATGATCAGAGACCTCTGTTCAAACTTTCCAACAAGCTACTTGGTAGGACAACCGTGGCAAATTTACCACCATCATCCAGTAAGCTTCAGTTGGCTACCGGTACTGACTTTAACACATTTTTCGTTGATAAAATCAAACGTCTGCGTCAGAGTATCTCTATCAAATCTGAAGTTCCATCTTTCACGGCCGCATCTCATCCTTCATGTCATATCACCAAACTTGAAAGCTTTGAGACAGTCAGTGAAGACACGGTTGCAAAACTTCTTATATCTATGGCACCGAAATCTTGTGATTTGGATCCTTTCCCTACCAAGATTGTTTGTAAACTCAATTGTGCTGTCTCATTATTTCGTTCTCTTGCCAATTCGTCCCTATTCTCCGGCATTTTTCCTGACTCTTTAAAGATTGGTATTATCCACGCCACTCTTGAAAAAATCAACATTGGATCCTCATTCGTTTATCAATTATCGGCCAGTTACTAATATCCCTTTTGTAACCAAGATCATTGAGAAAGTTTTCTGTTCAATTGTTGTTAAGTTTTTAAATTCCAATAATTTATTGGATTCTTACCAGTCAGCCTTTAGAAAAGCACACAGTACGGAATCTGCTGTAATGAAAGTTAATAATGATATTTTGCAGGCCCTTGACAACGGATATTGTACATTATCAGTGTACCTGGATTTGTCCGCCGCGTTTGATACCATCGATCACAGTATCCTCATTGATCGACTTTCAGCTTTAGGGATTTCTGGTACAGTATTAACATGGTTCAACTCTTACATAAAATCTAGACAACAGTCTGTTAGAGTTGAATCAGCCATTTCAGTTCCAGTCCCAATGAATTTTGGTGTTCCTCAAGGTTCTATCTTGGGGCCCATTGTGTTCCTTATTTACGTACGTCCTCTTGGTGACATCATTCAGAAACACGGTATTAAATATCACATTTATGCCGACGACATGCAATTGTACACATCTTTTAGTCCGGAGGCTGCCGCAGAGACAGTTCGCAACTTAGAAGGTTGTATTGATGATGTTCATAGATGGCTGTCTATCAATATGCTTTGCTGCAATACAGACAAGACAGAAGTGCTGTATATAAAGCCTAAACGCCGTCTAAATGTACCCATCATTGAAAACATCCGCGTGGGAGACACCTACATAATTCCATCTTCTGAGGTGCGACATATCGGTGTAACGTTTGACTCCACACTATCCATGATTAGACATATTACAAACACATGCAGAGTAGTATCCTTCCATCTCCGCAACATCAAGGCAGTTAGGCGTTTTTTGAATGAAGATGCTACGTCAAAACTTGTACATGCATTGGTTACATCAAGATTGGATTATTGTAATGGAGTCCTTTACGGAATACCATTAACATCAATTAGAAAGCTGCAGCTAATGATGAACATTGCTGCTCGTCTTGAAACATGATACGATAATCCCCTAATTGTGTTCCTGTCTCTTATACACATCTAGATGTGTATAACTCGTTTCCTCCGGTCAACAACTGACTCAACCAATCTTTATTGTCCATCCTTTCGGTTAAAGTCTTGTAGGGAGCGATCGTTTATGGTTGCTGGGCCCAAGTTGTGGAACTTGTTACCTTTATTTATTCGTGAGTCACCTTTTGTCACCATTTTCAAAGAACGACTTAAGACCCACTTATTCTCGTCCCTTTAATTAATTTTTTTCTATTTCCATGCCAGCTAGCTTTTATAGCTTTAACTAGGATAGGAGGCGCCCGAATCCGAGATCGCCGAGACTCAACAAGTGCTGACTGTAGTTCAATTAGATTGAACCCTAGACAGCGATGAGGGCGTATCCCCATACTTCGGTTTGGGTGCTGGCATGGTATTCAAATTTCACTTCTTTTTATTTTGTGGTTTTGTTTTCCGTTCCATCTTTACACTTGCCTGATAGCGCTTAGAGCCTTTTTGTATTTTGCGCTTTATAAATTAATAACCATTAACCATACATATACATATATATATATATATATATATATATAATGCATATATAGCTCATTAATTCCTGATGATGATATACCGTAATTAATGTCGTAATATTGAATCCCGACATGATGGCGTGCATTTCGATACTTGGATTAGCATTGCTTTCGATATAAATATAAATGGCAGTTATCAGATACACTTCCTCTTTAGAATGTATATATGCAACCAGGAAATTAGAACATGCAGCATCCATAGTCTCTGAGCTGCTATTTAACATTGGAAAGTCTTCATAAATGTACGTTTTGGATACTTCTAGCTTGGTATGATGAGAAGCATTTTATCGCAATTAATAGAGCTCTGTTTTAGCTATTTACACAACGAATGAAATATATCTCAGCATTTATGTTTACAGAAGGCCTACGCAGGAAATTATATTTAGACAAAGCATCATACTTATTTAGTGTGCGCATTGAGTTATATACGCGCTACCTTATACAATTTTGTTATTTCGCTTACAGACAATACATTATAAATCACAGCCTAAGCTGGTGTGGCTAAATAAATACGGCTCGCGGTTTAATGGCGTCATTGATTACGATGGAATGTTATTCGTACCTGATTTGTTTAGCTCTTTTTGCGTCATTTACTTGTACTTTGCAAATAACTTTTTATAACTACGACCCTCTTCCGATTAATGGAACACACCCGCCCAACGATCAACGTTGTCCAGAGATATGTAACTGCACATATCGTGCAAAAAAAGGATCACCAATCGTAGAATACGGTCTACATATTGTAAATTGTTCACATCGGCTGTTATCAAAAATTCCTTTAAAGAACACGGTACCAACTGATGTTTTTTATTATTTCTTGGGATACAATAACATTGCATCACTGAAGAACAATTCATTTAACACATTACCCGTAGAATTTCTGCATCTTCAAAATAACCAGCTAGTGTACAAATATATTGAATTCGATGCATTCAGGGGATTGAGAAAACTGAGATATCTCTCGATGGCTAATAACAAGAACCTCAGTCAACTTCGAGCAGCATGGTTCGTGGACCTTGTATCGCTTGAACTATTGCATCTAAAATTCTGCCGAATTACCACATTAGACAGTGATGTCTTTAAGCATTGTAAACAGTTGAAAAAAGTTGATCTTTCTGACAATTCCATTGTGTCATTCCCAACAAACGTTTTTCAAAATTTGTCTGCACTTATGTACCTATATCTTTACGATAATAATTTGAGCCAACTCCCGAATCAAGCATTTGTCCGTTCCAGTAGTATACATACAATAACTCTTGATAACAATTTCCTCCCTACAATTAAAGAAACTGTTGGTTTTCAAAACCTGAGCCAATTGCAGATACTTAGTGTATCATACAACAGATTCTCGTGTGATTGTAATTTAGTTTGGTTTAGAAATTGGATAAACAATACGAATGTCACATTTAAAGACATTGGGCGTACAAAATGTTTCCGTAGACATGGACAAAGCAAGGTATACATCAAACTGCTGGATTTTGATCCTGATACATTGCAGTGTAGCAAATTAATTAAGATCTTAAGAATTACCATTCCATCTGTTTCAGCTGTAGTTGCCATTGTAATAATTGGATCTCTTCTGTACTACTTCAGATATGATTTAAGGTAGGCTTATCACCAAGCTAAGAAAAAAAGGACAGTAACTTCGAAAACAAGGAGGTGGGGTACCGGAAGGAGAGACAATTTGAGGACGCAAAGACTCAATCTATTTGATTAGTTTTAAGAAGTGCAGGCCTATTAGATGAAAACCATAAAATAGATCAAAAATGAAAGTGCTGTCTGTTTTCGGAATTACTTTATTTCTTATTTATTTAGAATTAATTAGTGGATCGTCTATATTAAGATATTTTATGTAAATTATAGCATTATAGTTATTATAATCTGATTATTTTTTTAAATATTAATCTTGGAAATACGACAGATTTAATTAAACCACTGTATACCATCCACAGGATGTACTGCTCCCACAAGTTGACAAGTTGCTTATTCATATTGTTTAGTCATCATGAAAAAATATAAACCTATATGCTCCAATGTAAACATGCAAATCTTCATATAAACGTACGTATATAGCAAACAAAAGTACACTAATCAAGATTTGTTTTGTACTGTTACTCTTGAATTAGTAATGCTCGAATATCAGACGTTAGCTTTGATTGGCATCCTTGAAAATCACTCGGTGCAAAAAAAAGAAAAAAAAATTCTCAAAGTATAATAGATGACCAATCTGAACAGTGCCATCAAAATTATGCGAATGTCCCACCAAACACACGTGTTTATGTATCGTTTACGCTGTCGTTTTGTGGGATCATGACAATATTCCAGAGGCAGGTCACTGATGTTAAGATTTATATTTAAGATGATTCTTTCTTTCTTTTTGAATAAAGGTACTGGAATCAACGACGACGTCTTAGAAAGCAATATGAAAAAATCAACAATCAGGGACCACCACCAATTAATGGAGAAAACATTAAATATGACGCGTTTGTGTCCTACAACAGCAACGACCAACATTGGATCATTTCTGTATTACAACCATCGTTGGAAATCGATCGCAATTTCAAACTGTGTGTTGACTACCGCGACTTCATTGCGGGAGAAGCAGTTGTAGATAATATTGCGAATGCTGTTAAATACAGCCGTAAAGTGCTGTTGGTTGTCTCCAAAAACTTCATCAGAAGTGAATGGTGTTACTTCGAACTGGAGATGGCACGCATGCGCATGTTCGACAATCATGAGGATATTCTGGTTGTGGTTGTACTTGAGAAGGTGTCAGCGAAAGATATGCCGATCCTATTGCATAAGATACTGACCACGAAAACGTACATTGAGTGGGAAGAACATCCCGAGGGACAGGCATTGTTCTGGGCTAAGCTGGAAGCAGCACTCATGTCACCAAATTGCCCAAAATACAGACTTTTAAATAATCCTCAAGAATGAATAGAATTAAATACTTACGTAACTAACTATGTCACGGTAACAATTTTATTTCAAGCCAATTGTTTAGTGTACATGTAGTATTTTTCTCTTTGAATGCTTTTAGAGATGATGTAATTATAATGTGTTACGGTATATATTGTACTTACTTACTACATATCTTGTCAAAGGAAAAGCTCTATGTTCTGTTTTATCAACAGCTGACATAGGGAATCTGGAGTTCTACGTGCCATTATGTAGAGTTTTCTAGACTCGATAAACAATATTGGAATGGAACAATTTTATAATAATTAAGTCTGAATAATTACAATATTTGACTAAAATCAGAATGTCTTTCTCTTCTTTAATAATTCTAATAAATTCTTGATTAGAAATAGTGTGTATCTGTTTTATAATTATGCTTATATTTCAAAGCCTAACATTACAGTGTACACATTACGTCAGATGAACGTCTAGGATTCGAAACCTACCGGTTTGAAAATCTGTAGCAACATAGATCATCGAAGTCTTCAACTCACGAAGTGAACATAATTCCATATTTATCTTAATTGAGGGAAAAATAATGACATTACTGTCGATATTTACTTAGGAATTTTAGCTGTTTTGAACACGTCGTGGCATTACTTACACAGTCGTTAGATTCATGTGGTTAGACTAAAAGGCTATGTAAAAAAAAAGTTGTTGATCTTCCCTTGAGTGATACTCCAGCTGGAGTCTATCAATCATCTATCAAGGTCATCCCCTCCCTACATAAAAAAAATCACTTAATATATTGTCTGAGCCCACATTTCAACTTCTGCTAAGCCAATGTATTTTGTGTAATTATTTTGTATTTTATTTGTTTGTCCGTACATCGAGTTGTTATAGGCCTAGTGTATAAATTCCACCTGATCAAACACTACACTGGAAGATCCGTCAAGTTAAAATGAGGCCTTGCTCTCCATGGGGAATTTGAAGACTCGGTATGTATTAAAGTGTCTACTAAGGATGTACAACATTCCTATTTTCTAGCAGTAATCTTTAACATGTCACAAATATATAATTTCTAAAATAAATGTACACTGATTAGTAAGCCGGGCCTATAAACCAAGAAACAGTGAAAATTCCCTGTATAAACTAATCGCCTTACTTCATTTCAAGACAGTGTGAAAATTTATGAACTGTAATAATATCCCTATGACTAGACACAGTTTACGTACAGTCTTTGAAAGTATAAAAAAGTATAGTAAAATTAATCTGGCTATTTGAGTATAGTCCCGAGTATAGGAAATATAGGCAGATTTCACAAGTACACTGCTTTCGCGAACGAGAAGTCAAGCATAATAAGGTACTCTCTGGAGTACCACAAGATTCTATATTGGGTCCCACTTTATTTAATATATTTGTTCTGGATCTTCCGAATAAATTCTTATATATTTCAATACGCTGATGAGGGATACTTTTACATTACCATCAAATCTAATTCCAACTATAACTGGAGCATGCCTAATTCGTAGGAGTGTGTGGCGGCGCAGCATGTAAAGGCCAACTCAGACAGCGTCGGCCGACGCAGCCCGACCCGATTTATCGTCGGGGACAGTATTGAGCAGTCGTGAGAAATATTAAACATGTTTAATATTCTACGACGCG